GGTGTGGGGGGTACTGGGTGCTAGACAAAGTCATGAATCATTTGGGTGTCATTTGGAGAGAACAGCTGTTAACTGTTAATGTTGGGAAGCAGACTCGAATGGCTCTTGGGTTTCTATACGGCCGGGGCACTATATGATGATAAATCATTTATTAGCCAAAAGATGCTAATGGCAAATTCGACTGCAGTTCATCAAAATAATTGACTAGTAACTTGTGCTCTGTGACTCCACGCCCCTTCCCCTCCTCCCATTTCACTCCCTCTTTCTGTTTTGCTGAAGTGAAATGCAGTCGACTCGTTGCTCTTGCCATTTAGGACTATGTGCATATACTGTATATATGTGTAAGTGTATGTGTGCGTGTGCTTTGCCCGGCTATTAGGCCATATTTGTAGTTTGGCTGAAATATGGCTGTGGCCAGCGACTTGCAAATGGAAATCAATAATGGAAATGCACCGACCTTATTGTGATTTTTCCCTCGCACTATCTCTCTTTCTCTCTCTATCTCTCTCTGTCTGTCTCTCTCATTCTTTGTATTTCTCTCTGTCCCTTTCTCGCCCTCACTGCTCGCTCTTTGTTGTAGCTACAAATTGTTCTCATATTATATAGCTCGTCTATATGCAAACAAGGAAACGTAATTTTTCTGGGGTATGCTTGACTAGCAGATACGCTAGTGCCTGCTCGCTCTCTCTATTGCAGGTATTAAGGTACTTGAGAATACTTGAGAATATGTACTAATGCTTAAATAGCTTTCCTATGGATAGCTACTGAATACACCTCAACGTACAATTGAGTTCCGCTATAGATAAAAAATGTATATTGACTCATATATATATATTTAATTTTTATGAAGTATGTATACCAACTGGAATTTTAATGAAACAGGATTCATTTTAATTAAAGTAAATTTTTTATGATTATTTAAGCACTTTGTCTATGATAATTTATCCGTTGTACATCCTGCCGGAAATGAGCTAATTTACAATTAGTGGAGTTGCTTAAAGTTTATAATCGATATTGTTTAACACTGACATTTCTAGTGTTGGCAAATACCCAAACTTCAAATATGCCCAGCACGTATCTTTTGACACTTCTGAACATTAATAAAGCCCATTTTCCAACTGTGCACAGGGTACAAAAAAAAAAAAAAAAAAGATAAAAAGGAAAATTAATATTCATTTGGCTTTGTCTTCTTGTCTTTGGCAGAATATCTGAAACACCAACATACAAATATATATATATATATACATATATACATATACGTCTACATTTGTCGACGTGCACGCATACATATGCGCAAGCATATAAACGCTAAGGAGGAACGCACGTGGAACGCGAACATTTGCAGTCAGAGCATAGGTCACAGCCAGAGCGATCAGATAGCAGGCACTGAGGGAAGCCAACTCGATTGTATTGCTGCAGCTGCTGGTTCTGCATATGTGTGACCCGAGACCCGGTGACAAGCGCTGGACATAATCGTTCAATGACAGCAGCCACAATTGCTGCCACCGCCGCCGCCACCGCCACCTCAACTGCCTCTGACTCTGATTCTGCTTCAGTCTCTGTCTCAGGCTCTGCCTTTGTCTCTGTCGCTGTCGCTGTCTCTGCCGCAGCGCTGTCCGCTGCAAGCAACGCGAGCAGTTAACGCCCAACAGCAGCAGCAGGAAAAGACTCGGCTTAATCCGGTCTCCCAGCAGGTGAGCTGAACATGAAATAATTGAGGGCAAAAAAAGAAAGTACAGAACGAAAATGCAAAGTTAACGAGTCAGAAATCCCTGGGAGATTATCTGAAAGTTAAGCTTTAACTGCAAGTTAAGCTGATTCTGCTCAGAACAAGTCCAAAATTCCCAGAGTTAGAGTTTAACGAAAGTTAAGCTTTAAGCTCTGTTAATATGTGTGCAATTTTCTGCTGTAGAGATTTATGAAAGTTGAGCTTTACATTTTATAAATTATCTTTACCGAATGTAAACCATTTAACATTTAACTATTTTAATAATTTACTGGAAGCTCACTTTCTGTAAAGCTTTTTTAGCCCTCAGTCATTTCAGTTTTCCCTTATATGAGAGCTAAATTAACGTTATTTATATATTACAGCGCGCCTTTATACAGTCAAGAGCTCAACGCTGTGACTGAGAACAGTTCAATCAACGATCAGGACTATCTATCGACGCTCAACCAGCTAAAAGCCAAGCCAAACCACACGCCCAACAGATAAAGTAACAGCAACAGCAACTGTAGCCGTAACAGCAACAGCAACTGTAACAGCAGCAGCAACTGTAACAGCAGCAGTAACAGCAGCAGCAACAGCAACTGTGACAGCAACAGCAACTGTAACAGCAACAGCAACAGCAACCGTAACAGCAACAGCAACAGTAGCCGTAACAGCAACTGTAATCAGACAGAGCAACAATGGTGAAAACATTTCAGGCCTATTTACCGTCCACAAATCGGACCTACTCATGTGTTCATTGCCGTGCACATCTGGCATCGCACGACGAGCTCATCTCAAAGTCGTTTCAGGGTAGCCAGGGACCGGCATACCTATTCAATTCGGTGGTAAATGTGGCCTGCGGCCAGACGGAGGAGCGTGTCCTGCTCACCGGACTGCATGCGGTCGCTGATATCTACTGTGAGTGCTGCAAGACGCCGCTTGGCTGGAAATATGAGCATGCGTACGAGTCCAGCCAGAAGTACAAGGAGGGCAAATTCATTATCGAATTGGCCCACATGATCAAGGAGAATGGCTGGGATTGAAGGGAGCGAAGCGGACGTCGTGCGTAAAGCATTTTTGGTGGGCTGGTAGTCCGGGCGGCTTTGGGTAACGTTTTAAATCCGGCAATAGCAACGACAGCAACGATACGTTGTTGGCAGATGGCAGAAAATGGCTTGGAGCCAAAGTTGGAGCAAGCGAGTGCAACGGCGAGAGCAAGCGAAAGGTAGAGTGGGAGGGGGAGGGGTTAGCGTGAGAGAGATGGATAGATAGCGCCGACGATCAGTCGAGCTAGCGAGCTGATGAGTGTTAGGGTACCATAATATATATATACTATTATATAGTACATAACTCGTCGTATCTTATAGAACAAAACCAACAGAAATGCATACTCTCACACATACACAGCCACACACACCCATCCACACACAACCACACACAGACAGACAGACACACACACACAGACACAGACACAGACACAGACACATTGACACAATGAAAGTTCCAGTTTTGGAGCTTCGCGAAGAGATCTCTGCGCTGGACGCAACAGTAGCAGCAAATTCAATTGGCGCCATCTGTCGGCGAGCGCGTCCAACTATTATTCGTATTTCGTATTTGGTTTTGTTGCCAATTTTGTTGTTGCTTCTCGATTTGTTTATCAATATTCAATAAGTGCAAAAAAGTTATGAAAACAATTTTGTTTTTATTGTCTTTTGTTTTACGGTTTTTACTTTGTTGTGTATTTGTTTTTCTTCATTCGTTCTACTGTTTGAGTTTTGTGCACAAAAAATGGAACACAAAAAACTTGCACTGCCAATAAACGGGAATATATGAGGAAAAATGCTTTAGCAACAAATGCAACAAAAACAACTTCATTCAATAGGAAAGAGCAACAAAATTTGATGCATTCGAATCCACCCACCCAGACACACACACATTCACAAAGCCACACAGACACACATTCACAAAGACACACACACAAACTCACACACATTTATGATTACACCTTTTCAATGTAGTAGTTATTTAAAAGAAATATTTAAAGAAAACAAATCAAATTATTTAGCTTGCGAATCTGCATAAACTATTTATATATATAAAAAAAATGTAAAAAAGCGCAAGGAAATGCAAAAAGAATGAAAAAAAAAAAAATAAATAAATAAACAGCAAATTGTGAATGCCAATAA